TCCAAAAGTATTTTATTTCCTTTTGATATCCAAAATAAAGTTCTTCCTACTCTTATTTTAGCCCCGGGCCAAAAATAAGAGTGTGTAAAATAAAACCTTTTGTTTGTTGTTTTTTTCCTTCTTTAAAAGCCTTTATTGAGCCAGTAAAACCCTCCCTTTATTCCATTCACCCCCTGGCCAAAATACACTTCACAATCCCAACATAAACACCCACAAAGAGCCAAAACCATGTCCCACCTCCAGCCCCTACTTCCTGCCCATGTTTCCCTCACAATAACCCAAATCCATAACTCCAAAACACCCATAAATAATACCCAGCCCTGTCCCCTTTTATTGGCCAAAACATCCCCCCATTTTACCCAAATAATAGCCACAAAAAAACCCAGGAAACAACCACAAGGAACCAAAACATAAACCCCCACAACACCAGCCCCATCCCTGAATTTTATCCCATTAAGGAGACATGTTTGAATGAAGAATGCCCCATGCTTTGAGAGAGGATGTTGCTAGGAGCTTCCTCATATTCACATTCATTGCATTGTGTATTATTCCCCCCTTCCCCCTGCCTATATAAATCAGGCCCTATGGCCAAATGTAACACACCTTTGAATATTGAAAACCTTTTACTCTTTGAGTATTATTAAAATAGTGTGTGATGCTCTTTTAGCAAAATTCCTAATTCTATATCTTAAGAGTGGTTATCTTAAGTGTAAGTTTTAGGTTCTAGATATTTGATTAAGTGTGTCATATCTTAATTAAATTCTAGATTCAAACCCCAAGTTAAGATAAGATTGTGTAATATCTCTTAAGCACCAACTTGGTTTATCCATCCCTGATTTTCTTCCATTTCTTATCTCCCCCATTTCTCCTCTTAACCTTACTCTTTTCTTCTATTAAAATACCCCAAAAAGAACTCCTTCATCATCCTCATATTTCCCAGCCATTCCCCCACACAAAACACCCTTCTTCTTGCCCAGACTTCCGCCCAATAATCAATTATCCTTAGTGACAATCGATTATCAGTCACCGTTGAAACACCTGCAACCCATTATAGTCGATTATCCTTTCTGGACAATCGATTATCACGTCCCCCAGAAATCCTGCAGTCTCTAACAATCGATTGTCTCCTTCTGCCAGTCGACTATCAGCCCCTCCTGAAATCCTGAGGAATTCTTCTAAGAAACTGAAGCACCAGTTAATCGATTATCACGATTGTGTCAATCGACTATCTAGCTGTCCTGAAGATTAAAGGCTGTTCTAGTTTGCTTCCTATTCCTCCATAATCCCGCCCTCAAATTATCTAAATGATAAGACCCCGGTCTCGGGTATAACACGGATTGTCGTATCTCTCGAGGAGTGGACGAAGGGAATTAGTTTAATTACTCTAACTAGGCGAAGATTATGATTGGTTTATGAAAGTCTTCTCGAAACGATTATAAAAAGGGAGCAGAGTAAAAATAATAAATAAAGGTCACATAGTACAAGTATAGATCTGGACCTAGGGTCTGAACATCATTTGGATCTATTTTATCATATTAAATTAACAATTGGAATAATAATATTTCTATTACTACTCATCCATTTCTAGATTTGTACTTAATCCGTTGCACTTGAATATCATAGCCTTTTGGCATACAATATTTTCTCAATAAATGGCCAATTAAATCTTTCGACGTTAATTAACTAAAGAAGGCAAGAACAATAGATTAACCATTCCAACATTAATTTAACATCAAAAATAAACAACCAAACTAGTCCGGACCCAGATATCCAGACCCTAACTCATACTATGCAAACATAAATTAAAACAACATTTTATTAAATAAGAAAACTTACGGCTTCCGTACAAGCGGAACAGAACGGATCGGGAGTCAAAACCTCCAAAAATACTTCAAAACTACTACTAAAACTATTATACAAAGTATTTTAAGCAATTGAGAGAGGGGAACCCGAAATTGGGTTGAGAATGGATGGTAAAAATGAGAAGAATCGTGCTGTATTTATAGAAACGAATACAAGGCGTCCAAGTCAAAGCGTCCAATTCCAAGCGTCCAGATTTGGACGCCTGAGCTATCCCGGCCAACCAGGTTTTGCCACGTGTCTTCCTTGATCTGCAATCCAGCCAAGGCGTCCAACTCCCAAGCGTCCAACTTGGTCAAGCGTCCAAGTTGGACGCCTTAGGCCCTAGTCCGTTTGGGCTTCGCGGCTGATGTGAGATCTTGGCCCAATTCTGCTGGTTTTCGGCCCGAACGTCGATTTTATCTTCCCGGAAGCTCGTTCAAGCCCGAATCTTGATCCATTGATGGCATATTCCCTTTTTCTCAAGCATTTGAACATAAAACGGATAATTTATGATGATTTCATGTGGAATCCCTTTTTATGACTCTTAGAACGAAAATGAGAGTTTTATCCATTAAAATCACATTTTATGAGATGATTAAATATTATTTACGTGCGTTAGAATATGATGTAAATGATAAGAACGAAACGGACTTATCAGTAACCAACAAACACCTTATTGCTTTGGGATTTTTAATTTAGATGCACCCAATGAGATTCTAATGATCATCTAGTGGACCATTATTCCCAGTCCCAAAAAGTACATTTTGACACAAATTAAATCAACTTTAATAATTCATCAAAAAGAATTAAATCAACTTTATAATAATTATTGGATTAAATTGCAAAGGACATTGTTGTCCGTATTATTTTGTATGTTAGATTTAATTTTGACTTCTCATAAAAAGAAAGTGTCTATGTTTTTCAATTAAAAAAGTTAATAATTAGAATAAACATCAAAGTAGGACTAAAACATTGAAAATATATCAAAATAGGACTTCCATGCATGTTTTTATTCCCGAAATAGGACTTACATTACCAAACATAGTCATATATATTACCAAAAAAGTATAGTAATGTGCACATGTAAACTGCCACATTACCATTAAGTCATATTTTGGGAAAAAAACATGAAAGTCCTATTTTAATACTATTCTCTGTGTCTTAGACCTATTTAGAGTGATTTCTATAATAATTAACCAAGCTATGACACGGTTTCGAATAAGCTCGTTGGTTTCGAATACATTGGTATATATATACATGGCCGTGAGTGTGGATGTGGATAGCCGATGTCTCAAATCTCAACTGTGATCCTCTCTCTATCTCCGTCATTGGATCTTCTCCTCCAAAAATAGGAAGTGGCATAAGATTCTGGCGAAAGAGATCGTATTGAGAAAAGCATAACGATAAACAAAGATAACGGAAACTCACCCCAAGGTTTATTATCCCCGCGACACGGGGACATAAACTTGTTTTGAGCATTTAGGAGGATATGTACAAAGCGTGTCGCCAGAACAGCACCGCTGGATAATGCCTTGCCTCCTTCAAAGAGGCTCCCATCTAGACGCACAAGAAAATACCTCCTCCCCAATTTATTAGGGACGAGGGAGACACCACCGACGTCGCCCTCACCAACAAATATTGAAATTGTTCCGATTATCTCCTTGTATATAAGTTGGCGTTTGGGGCGATATGATGAGGCTTCCTTTTGGGAGTCTGTGTCTTCGGTGCAACGATACATAACAACAGTTGGAAAAATGATGAG